CCAGGCCATCAATGGTGGAGGCAGCCACCTTGACCTGTTGTTGCGGTTGTGCGTGTGTGTGTGTGTGCGTGTTTGTATGGGTGAGTGTGAGTGAGTGAGTGTGTGTGCGCGCGCGTGTGTGTATGTGTGTGTGGTGGTACAAACCCGGCAAATATAGGCAGAAAGCAAGTTGAGCAAACGATGCCAACAACAACATGGTCATACACCCACACAAACCTGGTAGTATGTGTATGCGTCGAGGTCTGTGAGGTTGTAGTTGGTGAGGTCGTTGCCCGTGACGATGGTCCAGGGTGTGCCCGCTGGTTGGCGCATGCTGTTCAGGTGCTGCACCCACAGCTTGTACGATGAGATGGTGCCGTGGCGCTCGCCAAACAGCGGCTGCTTCCACGTGATGTGCAACACGGTCGTTGCTGCCGCTCGCGCCACCACATCCTGGGGTGGACCTGAAGGGTTGAGGAGGGAAAGAAAGGGGAGGGGGGTTGTAAGCGAGTGAGGGCCCTGTGTGAGTGAAGCTGAGTACAAGCAAGCATGCCCAAAGGACAAGGACATCTAAGTTACAACTTCACGGACACACACACACACACACACACACACACACACACACACACACACACACACACACACACACACACACACACACGACACACACACACACACACGACACACACGCACAAGCGCCAACCTGTTGGGGTGCCGGAGAGGGTGCGAGCGCGCACGGCGTCAGAGGCCGGGCCCTGACCGCGGACGGTGCGGGCAGCCACACGGAAGGCGTAGGTGGTGTACGGGTCGAGGCCAGTGAACGTGTGCTGGTTGTCCTCCGTGATGACGGGATGGCGGCCAACGCAGACGGTGTCCTGGCACGTGTCAAACACCGTCGCATCGTCGCCTGCAAAGGGTGCGTTGTTCGAAGGGGAGTGGCACGTTTGTGTGTTTGTTGGTGAGGAACGAGGAGGCGCGCAATGGTGACTCGATGCTCTCAAACGCATAGATCCCCCCCCCCCCACACACTTCGCAATACTGACCGTCGTTGCATGGGGTGCCATTCGGGGCGACATCATAGACGCACTCGCCGCTGACGCAGCGACCGGGCAGTTTGCACTGACCCATTGGTGGATCACATGTCTGTGTCGTTTGGACCAAACACAACACACGAGGATGAGATTGCCACGAAGGGATTCGAGACACTGGTAGTTTTGACCAAACGCAACCCCACATCCACTCACAATTACGTGCCATCTGCACGGGAGCGCTGCTGTACGCACCACGTCGAAGCATGGATCTGCGGATTCGTCGACGCGGTAGAAGACCTCGACGTCGTCCACTTGCCAGCTGTTGTAGGAGCCAGTCAACCACTCGTTGTTGTACGTGCTGCTGCTCTGGTGCACACTGTGCTCAGCAATAGCACGGATACACGCAACAGCATGGATGGCGATGAGTATGAGGAAACGACAGCATCGTTGCTTGCAGATGTATTGTAACCAACACGACGCTGGAAGCCAAAGCACACATGCATGGGTTTGACTCACGTGTAAGCATTCGTGCTGGTGTATCCAGACCGACAGTCGGTTGACATGCGGAAATCAGAGTTACCTACATGTGCGTCAATGAGAGTGTGTGTGTGTGTGTGAGTGTGTGTGTGAGTGCATGTGTGTGTGCAAACGGACTTGCGCACGCCAGCAACGAAGGCCAGAGCACCGAGCCCATCAACACCAACACAAGATACATGCACAAACACAAACACGACGACAACGCACCGAACTCAGGGCAGTAGTCTGGGCGCGTGTACTGGGCGTACTCCGGATAGTTGAGGAGATCTGTGCGCTCGAATTGGCCGTTGTTGACAAAGCGGAAGAGGAAGGCATCATCGGCACGGAGATACGTGGACGTGTCGGAGCGCCAGCTGTTGGGAGCAAAGGCGCCAAATACGCGCGGTCCCTGCGGGCTGCCCTCTGTCGAACGGACAACGACAACCGTCTGGCCCTTGTTGTCGCAGCGTGCGTGGAAGGTGGAGCCGGAGAAGCCGTGGTCTGATGCGCGGAAGCAGAGCTTGAAGCTCGAATCGCTGTTGGGCGACACCTCCTTGGAGATGGCCAGGTTCATGTCCTTTGTCAGGATCTCGGAGCCCATGATGGCCTGTGCCGGCGCATTGGCAGAGATGACGGTGCGGTCGCCGTACACATTCTCGTCCACAACTGCGGTGATCACGTGCGGTGAACAAGACGGGGGTGGCGTTGGCCGAGGGGTTGAAGTGATGATGAGTTAAAGGGATGAGGGCATGTATCGGAGATAGCACAGAGACAAGCATGACACAGATGCAGATGTAACTCGTGGCCAGAGCCATGCGACAGAAAATGAAGACAAACAAGCGAGAGCGCGGCGACTCACTTCTCCAGCATTCGACAGGATCCCCTGAAGCGATGCAGAGATGCTGGCCGTCAAAGCCAAGCTTTTGTGTCTGGTACGAGGCCGTCCAATGCACGTTGTCGTACTGATACGTTTGAAGATCAAATCTAAACGGCACAGTGGCAAGGCAAACGCGCGTGTGTGTGAATTGTGTGTGCGCGCGTATGAGCGTGTGTTTGCTTGAGTGCGTGTGCATGTATGCAGGCGCATCGTTACACAGCAGAAGCACAGTTCACTAACATGACCACACAACAGCAACACAAGAGCCATCACGCTCACCGGTACATGTCGTTGTCGTTGTAGTCGCCGACGAAGATCTTGTTGCTCACGACTGCAAATGTGCCGTAGATGTTCGAGAACCCTTGAGGCGAGCCGCTCAGCCTGTTCGTGGTGTGAGGGGGGAGCAGGGCGTGCAAGGAAGAGTGGCGTTCGTGAGACCACAGCGACCACGGCAAGTAGGTCTAACTTCAGCACAACTACACTCACACACACATACACACACACACCACACACACACACACACGGAGCAGGTACACACCACACTCACACGCAGACACACACACACACACACACACACACACACACACACGGAGCAGGTACACAGAGGAAGTGCCTCCGAATGCACTGACGAGAAAGAGCGCTGGAGTTGGCCCGTCTCCCAGTCGAGGACGCGGATGTTGTAGCTGCCGCTCTGCATGGCATACACGACACCATCGTGCAGCGACACACCGCCAACGGTCGTGCCAAAGTTGTACGCCCAAAGTTGCTGTGGCAAGGGGAGGCGGAAGAAGTATTGCAGGGCATCGGTTGACACCATGGGAAGCATCGACTCGTGAGCGTATGTTCAAGGTGGTGCACGTGTGGTTGCTTGCACGACGCACAACCGCCACAAACACGTTCTCACATACACACACACACACAGACACACAGACACACACACGCACGCATATACACTGACACACACGCATTTTCACACACACACACACACACACGAACAAACACACACACACGCAGGCGCGCAGACACAAGCATGCATGCTCACCGTCACGAGAGGGAAGGGGCCGTAGCGGTAGACGTAGTTGTCCGTGTAGGTGTTGAGCAGGTACGTTTCATCCACGTGCACCCATATTTGCATCAGCTGCAGGCACGCGACAAAGGAGAAGAGGTACAGGGCATGAGTGTGGAATGAGAAGTGAGAGGAGACGGGTGAGGATTCCATGTGTGATGCCAGATGAGTTACGAACCATGGCAGCGAGCACGCACACACACACGCACACACACGCACACACGCACACACACACACACACACACAAACTACTCCAGCAATGAGACTCACGTATCGGCGCTGCTGGATGCGGAAGCGGCCAACGAGCGTCGTCAGATCGTCGGCAGAGTACCTGATACCGGCAGCGGAACACAACACGACGCGATGCAATGGACAGGAATGTGAGAAAATGTGCGAGAGTGCGAAGTCTGGTTGTGCGTGCATGGCACGGAGCGTGAAAGCACACACAATGCCTCCCTCCTCCTGTAACAGAACGGCCCCACTCACCGGTAAACGACCGTGCCTGTGGACGAAGATGTGTACTCGGGGAACCACCACTCGTTGCGGCGCGGGTTGTATGCCATGCCGTAACTGCGTGTCGACCACGTGCCGCTGAACGTCGACGTGACTGGAGACACGGGCTGGGGCCGCGGCACGCTGCGACACTGCCCCATCACGCACGTGTCAAAGCCAGTGCTGCAAGCCGGCCACATGCGGCGTGTAGGTACGTTGTGAGCGCGTTGTATTATGTGTGTGTAGGTGCATGTGCGTGTGTGTGTGTGTGTGCGCGCGCGTGCGTACATGGCGTATGAGAGCTACAGTGAAGGCAGGCACCACAAACGCACAACTGCATGCTCGTTCTACGCATGTCCTGCGAGAGTGCACGATGACAACGACAAGGGTCCCGGCTCACCTGTCGTCGCCGTCGTCGCACTCGGTGCCATCGCGCTTGGCCGGAGCGGTGCACATTGGGCCATACTGAACAAGGACATGCAGGAGTCATTTGTGAGCGCGAACACAATCACATGTGCATATGTGCGTATGTGCTGGTGTTGGCGCTCGTGCGACTCTTCCGTGCGAACACACAGACACACACACATACTTACGAATGGATCGTGGATGCATTCGCCAACATCGTGGCAGGTGTCGCGAGCGTGACAGCTGATTTCCTCACATGAGGAGGGAAGTGGCTCTGGGGTTCAGTACAAGGAACATACACACAAACACACAGCCACGTAGTGACAACGTGAGGTGACGAATGGCATAATGCTCATGCCGACTGACGATGTAAGCACGAGAGCATCAGTCCCGACATGTGATTGGTTCAAACAATTCGCACCATCCATCATGCACCAGCGCACCTGGTGTGTAGTAGATGCTGTACTCGACGACTTCGCCCTCATCCGACGGCGGCAGGTCATACGTCACCTGGTGGGCGCGGTGGGGTGGTGGGAAGTGGGGAATGAGTGGTGTTGTCAGTGAGCGAGGCAGTGCAACAAGTACACACACACACAAACAAACACACACCAAACACACACACACACACCTTGATGGCCGTCTTGTTGAGCGCGTTGGCGCCGACGTTGTCGGGCGGCGTGCGGGGAATGCCTTGACCGGTGGTGGGCGCGATGGTGTTGCTGCGCTGGCCCTCGCCAACTGACGTCCACGCAGACACCTGCACCACATAGGTGGAGATGGGATCCAGGCCATCAATCTCAACGGACCGCACACTGCCGCTGGACGTGGTCATGGACTGCCACGTGCCACCAAGCCTAAGGGGACGACGATGGTTCGGACAAGAGAGGAATCGCCACGTGTGAGCATGGCGTAAAGAGTGCAACCAGGCGCGAAATCACACACACACACGCCTCACCACTCTCATCACCACCGGGAATCACTCACTTCTGGTAGTAGACGGTGTACTGGGTGACGACGCCGTTGGGTTCGTGTGGCGGCTGCCAGCTGATGGTGATCACCTCGCCATTGTCAGAGAGCTCCTCATCAGCCTGCACGTTGGACGGTGGGCCGGGCGGTGCCTCCTGTGTTCGCACAGTGATGCTCGCGGATGGCGGTGACGCACCGGCACCGTTGAACGTGGTCAGGTAGAAGGTGTAGTCTGTGTAGGGCAGCAGGCCCGTGACGGTGAAGGTGTAGTAGTTGAGGCTCGTCACAAACGCGGCCGGGCCACCAGCAGAGGCAATGTACACCTGAAGGGAGTGATTGGGGTTGTGGGAGACAGCAGGGAATGTGAGCAAGTGAACACGGCCAAAGCTGAAAGCTGGTTCAGTGCAACACAAGACAGCAAAACACATGCAGGCACACACACAAACAAACCACACACACACACACACACACACACACACACACACACCTCGTAGCCAAGAAGGCGGCCGTTGTGTGTCGGGTTGGCTGGTGCGTTCCATGTGAGCTTAATCTTCGAATCAGACAGTGCTGTGCCGGCGACGTCCACAGGGCCAGACGATGGTGGCGCCTCGAGTGTGGTGCCGTGAACGGCATCGCTGAGCGGACCGCCGCCAATGCTGGTGTACGCCTGCACCTGCACGGCGTATGTGCGTCCGGGGTGGAGGTCGTCGAGGGTGTAGGAGGACGTGTTGGAGT